ATGGATATCTCAATAACATAGAATGGATATCTCAATAACATAGTATAGATATCTCAATAACATAGTATGGATATCTAAATATCATGGAATGGATATCTAAATAACATAGAATGGATATCTCAATAACATAGTATAGATATCTCAATAACATAGAATGGATATCTAAATAACATAGAATGGATATCTAAATAATATAGAATAGATATCTAAATAACATAGAATGGATATCTCAATAACATAGTATAGATATCTCAATAACATAGAATGGATATCCCAATAACATAGTATAGATATCTCAATAACATAGAATGGATATCCCAATAACATAGCATGGATATCTCAATAAACAAAAATCACATACATTTTTGTAAAGAACTGTTTGCTAAAAAGTGTCATACTGTTTTTTACGCACAAATTATCAAAAAACATTGAAAACCATAAAGAAACTATAGTAATCTACATATGGGAGCTGGTTGATAATGCTTACCTTCTAGCTGATAAATGGTGACTGTAAATTCACAAAGTTGTGTATTTAGACTTGGATCCACAGCAGTGTAAGTAACATCAGTATTACCCACAGGTAGCAATACTGGTACCTGTTTATGCGATTCCACTACAGATATATTATTACCAGAGTTATCTGTTGCAGTAGGCACTATCCACTCAGCATATCTACCATTCTCCACAACAGTGCCATAGAACAAGTCTGATGGGCAATTACTAAAAACTGGTTTCTCATAATCTGCCAAGTAAAAAGTGTTATAAATATATTAATTTTTGTTGTCTGAATGAAAATTACTAATCAAAGAAAGCTTAGAAAGAATCCAGTGTATTGAAAACATATTACAAATTGATAAGCTTTCCAAACAAGAAGCTTGGCAACTAATATTTGTCTGTTATTTGAGATGTACAATATGTGATCCACATTATTAAAGTTTATAATACTTTCCAGTCTTATTTCATATTCCAGAGTGCCTCTACCACAAGTTCAATTTAAATCTGATTTTTTTGAGATATCCGAAATCAGCTAATAATAATTAGATAATCAATACGCATGTTTTTCATTATTGAACTAATCACGTCTGTGGATCACCTCAGAGCATCTATGAACCAAATTCCAATAAATGTGATGCACATGATTATGTTCCCAGGCACTCATATACCAAGTCCTTTTTTTGAAATGCAATAATTGGTTTTCGAAAAAATGGTTAATTATTATGCAAATTAAGCATGTATTTCAAACCCAAACTATTTAGGTTTGTGTATTGTTTCATACTTCATTATAATGTCATGAATAATTTTTATAAAATATCAATGGAAAGCCAAAAAGTAATTATTATGGATGTATATAAACCCAAAACTAATTGAAATAAGTATTTTAGATATTAATGAAAAAGCTGAAGACTGACTAATTATTATGCAAATCAGGTAATTATTAAGCACAGATTTTATTGTAAAATTAATAAGGTCTGCACAATATCATAGACCATAAATGTATCATGTTTTATTGAAATGTGATTAGAACTTGATTTAAACCAAAACTAAACAGGTCTGTGCATTGTCCTAAAGCATCTATGTACCAAGTTTCATTAAAACCGGTCACTGGTAGCATAGTGGTTGTCGCTTCAGGCTCATGATCGGTAGACCCAAGTTCAAATCCTACCTTAGGCTGAATATCAATGGGTCAACTCCTACCCTGGGTGAGTGTGCCACAGACTCAATAGGAAGGCCAATTCCACTGGTGAGATTCATTCACTAACAAATGCCACTTTGGGGGAACCTTGGTTAAGGTCTGCAGATTTGTGTTTGACCAAGCCTGGTTGACGCCAGGATAGCGCCACACAACCCTGTCATGTAGTCCCAAACATGAATAGGATTTCTGTGGCAAAAATGCACCATGTGTCAGCACTAGCACTTGCAATTTGCACATACAAAAAAGAAAAAATCAGGAGAGACAACAGTGACACTCAACTGTCGCCTGGCAAAAAAATAATTTAAAAAAAAAATGTAATGATTAGTACTTAAAATTTCAGCAACAGGAAAAGCCAAAAATTTACTAATCATGCTTAGTTGCTACAATTTATTGTAGTCATATTCTTCATAGTCATGTATACTGGTCATATCCCCTTGTTTGGTCCGGAATACCATCTTCTGCATCTTATCGTCCAGTAATATTGTCGAACCAAATGTGGAGAGCATATATCAAAGACTCTCTCAGTATATTCTCAGGATATTTAATTATTTCCCCGCTCACAGTATCCTTTAAGTAATTGATTTCTCTGTGCCATAATTCCACACAAATTGTGATTAATAGCTTTGCTAACACAAGGGAAAACTGCTGAATTCACAGCACACAATATAATATATAATGCAAGAATCGGTTTATTAATAGTGATACAAGATAATAAAGTAAAGCACACCTTTAATCCTGACCTCAAATTTACAAATTGATACTTGAGTTTGATATATGGCTGTGTATGTAACTTCTGTGATACCAATTGGAAACTGGTCACCAGAACTGTATAATGACCTTATTGGTATTCTATCCAAACCAAAGTAAGCGATAGGAGGCGTCCAAGTAACTCTTGCATAAGACTTGCCCAGTTCTGTGAACTCTAGCATATTATTTGGGCATCCACTAATTACAGGTGCATTGGGAATGACTGAAATAGATATGAAGAATATATGTGAATACATGCAATTTAAATGGTTCAAAATTACATATTAATGGCAGTGGATCCATTCTTGTCAAATACAATAAATACATTCAAGTTATCCTGGAAATGTTCTCATGTTTTAACATGATGTGGCTCTGAAATTGCACTCATTAAAACACAATGGCCATCAGTCGGACATTTTGAATCTGATCTGAAAAAGGTCCCATACATTATGCACATTATGCTTATACCAAGTTTGAACAATATTCATACTTGACTGAAATTAAGTTTCGAGATGGCAGAATTGCTTGATTTTAATGAAATTTTAGCACAAAAATGACCAACATATGACCATATTGAATCCTTATCATGAGACAAATATATGTGCATTTGTATCCTGAGATGTATGAACATTCATATGTGTAAAATTTAATATAATCAGTCCAGGCATGTCCAAGATACATGTGGTGCACAGACACATAGAGGTCAATCCATAAAGTCCTTGTTTTCTGACTTTGTCTCGTTACAGTTTCATTTATAATTCTGATGCTGCTGCTAACAAATGAACAAATTTGAAGCTACCAGATGTTTTGGTAGCAGTGCAATCTGATGTAGGTATAGAAGCTCACGTCACTGTTAATACCCCGGTACATGGCCACAGGTGTTAATCCGACCAACTACCTTTATGCAAATCGTGTTCATCATTACACACATGTTCTGATTTTCTGTAGAATTTAACAACAACAATTTGTATATTTTATATATAACAGTTTTTGGCTTCTTTTTGATTGAATTTGAATAGAATCAAATAAAATGGTTCAGATATAAATGGCAACATTATGAGATATAGTTCATTTGTAAATTTTTAAGTGTTCAGTATAAGTTTAGTTCACTTGAAGGTAGTCAGTATGAGTTAGTTGAGTTGCAAGTGGCCTGTACAAGTTAGTTCTACTGTAAGTGTTTATATCATCACTTCCAATCACTACCACTATTTGTTAGTAATTAATTTGTTAATAATGGGTTATATAATTTGCGCCTGCTAAACCTTTGACCAGAGAATTTGACCTGGGGGTATGTACAAAATGTAGTGTGAGTTTGCGGCTCACTGCATGCCAGGATAAGACAGGTTGTGAATAAGCCACATATGTACTAGTCTTTATCTGAACAGCGTTTGCTTTCACTGCACAACCCTAATCCATAGTTCGGACTAAAAGAAATGGGATAGATAGAAATCAACTCAAGAATTTATCATTACTTCATTGCAATGGTCAGTGCTTTTGATTGATAATGCATACACAATGCAGCGAGTTTTGGAGGGCGACACATGGGGTGTTAATACATGTGTTACATCTGGGACTGATAATTCTGAGAAACCACCATCAAATCATCGGTCAAGTTAAATGAGGAAAAAAACAGATATGTTATTTGCCTACCACCAGACACAGACCACATCAATTCTCGGTACAACACAAATCTGGAGTGCAGACATATTAAGAGAGAGTACAAAACAGTAGACATGCAACTCAGTCTCGAACTTGGAACAAGTTGAGACGACAAAGAGTGGCTGATCCTGAGGAGAATCGCCATGATGCTGTTCAATCTCTGGTCAAAGCCACACCATTCAAATTGACAAATTTTGTGAATGGCATGTCATGCAGTCTAGTTTAGGCATGGGGCACGATGTTGCTTTGTTTTCCACCATTTTTGATGATTATAATTACAGTAGTCTCTATCAAACAGAACAATGACATTGACAGTGCTATTCTTGTCATGGTGTTGACTCCTTTTCTGCGGCCACTATTCATACCTGGGAGGCTACCCTTCAAGTTGCTATAATTGATGATGAGTCATACGAGTGTGTCAACGAGCTCAGAGCTGTTCTATCTTCATGCTTACAGCCTATCCTGGAACTCAGGTCGGGCCAAGGCATTTCAGAGGGACTAGCCAATGTCATGGCACAATTCCTCAGCGACAGTACAATTCAGTAATATACCAGAGCACTAGGGTTACTTCCGTTCTTGGTGTCTGCAACACCAAGTACATTCTGTCTATTCCCCAATTAGTAGATTTCTTTTACAATGCAGCTAATGAGGATAAAGCAATATCAGAACTGCTATTAGCACAACTCCATGCATTAGGATTTGGGTAAGAATACTAAAATCACTATTCAAAGGATTTCTTGCTTCAGATTTTTGGTCTTTATCATTACTTTTGGTGTCTCATAAGCATCTCCCGATGAGCCGCACTGTCACTTGTCAACTGCTTCAGGGAAAAGGCGAGTTGCAGGCTCTCTCATTTGCTGAAGATTTAGCAGTCTCACACAGCTCACACCTTTCTAGAGTTAAGAATCAGAGGTCAGACGTATCAGCTTCTTCCATCATTATCCCACTTTTGATTCTGGCTGTCGGGTCAAAAATAGTGGGGGGACACAACCCTGTGCCTTGTAAGCATAATCTGCCATTATCATGTACGCAAGTAGAAGTTCAGGTACAGTCAGTCTGTTCATTTGCTAAGCAGAAGGTAAGCACAACCTAACAAGTCATACAACCCTAGTGAGGTTGGTCTTGCAGCCGATTAGTTATGCCTACTCAAGTATGGACCCCCCCCCCCTCCGATGCATTTAAAAGTATTTACTAGTACAAATTATTTCTGTTGTAGTTGATTCACTTTGAGTTGTTTTAATACAAAACCACATCTTCCGGATGAGGATGATATATATGTACCCTTACCTGTTATGCGATCATAATAATTACAAATATAGCTGTCAGTGAGATTGGTTCCAGAATCGCTAGTGGAGGATGAATAATAAATACACTGAGCCGAGTTTGTGAAGTAGTTGACAGAACGACAAAAAAAGTCAATTTCATCAATGCAAGCTTTCAAACAACTATCTTCAGTCACACTGACAAGTTCAACTGCATCATATTCTGTCAGAGAACCAGGAACGAAAAGAGCAAGTTCTGGTGGCTCAAATAATTCATATGGATCACCTGAAAAATAAGAAAATTGGGATTATATATACTCAATACAGGATGCAAGGCATTAAATAACACAACACAGAATAATGAATGCTAATTCAGTCAAGTATCATATAATCACTGGATATCTGCTAATGCTCAAATTTTCATTAGATCACTAATGCCAAAAGGTGACCGATTTTCACTAAATCACCAAACACCAAGTGGTGACTAATTATCATTGAATCATCAAGCACCCAGTGACGACCAAATGTAATTGTTTCACTGAACACACGGCAATGATTCATTACAACTGACTTTGAATCACTGGAGACCTAGTGGTGTCCAGTTGTCATTGAGTCACTGAATACCAAGTGGGGAAGAATTGTCATTGAATCACTGTACACCCAGCGGTGACCAATTTTCATTGAATCACTAATTACCTGGTGGTGACCAATTATCATTAAATTACTGAATACCTAGTACTGACCAATTGACGTTGAATCACTGAATACCTAGGGATGATCAATTGTTATTTAATTACTGAATACCAAGTAGTGATCAATTGTTGTTGAATCACTGAATACCTAGTGGTGACCAATTGACATTGAATCACTGAATACCTAGTGGTGACCATTTGTCGTTGAATCATTGAATACCTAGTGGTGACCCATTGACATTGAATCACTGAATACCTAGTGGTGCCCAATTGACATTGAATCACTGAATACCTAGTACTGACCAATTTACATTGAATCACTGAATACCTAGTGGTAACCAATTGTCATTGAATCACTGAATACCCAATAGTGACCAATTGTCACTGAATCACTAATTACCTGGTGGTGACCAATTATCATTAAATTACTGAATACCTAGTACTGACCAATTGACGTTGAATCACTGAATACCTAGGGATGATCAATTGTTATTTAATTACTGAATACCAAGTAGTGATCAATCATCGTTGAATCACTGAATACCTAGTGGTGACCAATTTACATTGAATCATTGAATATCTAGTGGTGACCAATTGACATTGAATCACTGAATACCTAGTGGTGACCAATTTACATTGAATCACTGAATACCTAGTGGTGACCAATAGTCATTGAATCACTGAATACCCAGTAGTGACCAATTGTCACTGAATCACTAATTACCTGGTGGTGACCAATTATCATTAAATTACTGAATACCTAGTACTGACCAATTGACATTGAATCACTGAATACCTAGGGATTACCAATTGTTATTGAATCACTGAATATCCAGTAGTGGCCAATTGTTATTGAATTCCTAATACCCAGTGGTGACCAATTGTCATTGAATCACTAATTACCTGGTGGTGACCAATTATCATTAAATTACTGAATACCTAGTAGTGACCAGTTGACATTAAATCACTGAATACCTAGGGATGACCAATTGTTATTGAATTACTGAATACCTAGTGGTGACCAATTGTCATTGAATCACTGTACACCCAGTGGTGACCAATTGCCACTGAATCACTAATTACCTGGTGGTGATCAATTATCATTAAATTACTGAATACCTAGTACTGACCAATTGACATTGAATCACTGAATACCTAGGGATGACCAATTGTTATTGAATCACTGAATATCCAGTAGTGACCAATTGACATTGAATCACTAATTACCTGGTGGTGACCAATTATCATTAAATTACTGAATACCTAGTAGTGACCAGTTGACATTAAATCACTGAATACCCAGGGATGACCAATTGTCATTGAATCACTGAATACCAAGTGATGACCAATTGACATTGAATCACTGAATACCTGGTGCTGACCAATTGACATTGAATCACTGAACACTTTCCAAAACATATATATAGACACAAACATTACTAATATATACTCACATGTTTCACAAAACGATCCAGTGTAACAACCAATGCATACACACATATATGCATGCAGTTCACAAGAAAATGAAATACAGGTACCACCATTCTGACAAGGATTGTCACTGCAGGGATTTTTAACTGTGGAAAAAAAACCATAATAATTATCAAATCTGTTTGAATCCTGAACAAAAACGAGCTGCAGATGTAATCCATGATGCACTGCACATGTATTTAGCTTCATGTTCATGTCCTACCATTGAAACAGTCAAAAACATGTTGCTAGTTTTTTTGAGCGGAGCGGATCGTGGGATGGGATGAAAAAGCATTAGCTGTCAGTGGTAACAAGTCATTATTAATGTTAGGAGAATTGATATTCATTCCTAAGATAAAATAATATGGCCAATGATGATGATTACAAGACTGTCATCTTTTATATGCTCACAAATTGGATTTTTATTTATTTATAAAGCATGTGCTAAATATCAATTATACATACCAATCAAAGAAGCTTAGAAAGAACTCTCATGTGCTGAGAGTATTGGAGACACAAAAATAATTCAAAATTACTTGTACTTGAGATATTGATGGAAAAGCTGTTTTAATTAGTTTTAATTATGCAAATCAGAAAATTAATATGAACAAATTTGAGTGTAAAACTAATGAAGTCTGTGCAATGTAACAGACCATCTATGTACAAAGTTTGTTTGAAATGTGATTAGAACCAAAAAATAATGAATTATTATGCTAATTAGGAAATTAATATGAACAGATTTTAACCCCAAACTAATCAGGTTTGTACATTGTCCTAGAGCATCTTTGTACTAAGTTTCATTGAAATGGAATAATTAGTACTTTAGATATCAATAGCTTAAAATTGGTTAATTATGAAAATTAGGTAATTAATATGTACAGATTTTAACCCACAATTAATCAGGTCTGTCCATTGTCCTACAATATCCATGTACAAAGTTTCATTGAAATGTGATGATTAGTACTCGAGATATCTGTGAAAAAGCTGAAAATTAAATAATTATGCAAATTAATTAATATGCACAATTATTTACCCTAAAACTAATCAGGTCTCTGCATAGTCCTAGAGGATCTATGTGCCAAGTTTCATTGAAATGTAATTATTACTTGAGATATCCATAGAAAAGCTAAAAAATTATGCAAATTAGGTGGTTAATATGCACAAATATTTTCCCTAACAAGTAATCTCTGAATAGTCCTTGAGTATCTATGTACCGAGTTTCATTGAAATGTAATACTATTGAAATATCAAAAGCTGAAAATTGATTAATTATGCAAATTAGGTAATTAATATGTATTGATATTACCCTAAAAACTATCAGGTCTGAACAGTGTCCTATGACATCTATGTACCTAGTTTCATTGAAATTTGATGATTAGTACTTGAGATATCAGTGGAAAATTGACTAATCATTATGTAGATTAGATAATTAATATGCACGAATTTTTAACAAAAACTAATAAAAACCTAGCATTATTTCAGAGCATCTATGTACAAACTTTCATCAAAATTCAATGAGTGGTTATTTAAATATCAGTGGAACAGTCATGGAACAGCTAAAAATTGGCTAATTATCATGAAAATTAGGTAATTAATATGCACAGATTTTTACCAAAAACTAATCCAATCTGCGCATAAGTTCAGAGCTTATATGTACCAAGTTTCATCAAGTTCTTTAGATATCAGTGGAACAGTCATGAAACAGCTAAAATGAGATAATTATCATGCAAATTAGGTAATTAATATGCATGGATTTCTACCAAAACGTAATCAAATCTGCACATTGGACCATAGCATCTACAATTTGTTTGTGTATGCACCAAGTTTCATAAAAAGACGATGTATGGTTCTTGAGATAGCAGTGGAATAGACGGACACACATACACACACACACACACACACACAGACAGACAGACAGACACACTAACTGCAAAGACTCATATTGTGTGCTTCGCACATGGGAGTTAAAAAAGGAGATGGCTGCCAGCAAGTTGGCAGATTAAATAGCGCCCTCAATGGCCAACTTTACTTAGCTCACAATATAATGGATCAAATTACAAAACAAAACATGTCACACAGAATTGCATATCACATTTTACATGGACATAGAAGCACATCTTATGTTTATCTACATTTGACAACACTTACTTTGGCTACAGTATGTGCCAGTATAGCATTCTGGACAAACACAGGTCCACTGTGTACAAGAATCAGAGACACCGACACATGTTGCACCATTCTGACAGAAATTGTTTGCACATGGATCCTGAACTGAAAGAAAATATTTATGATTTGCCATAGTGAAAAGCATGACACATACAAGGGTGTTACATCATATGTTTGAAGTAAAAATATTTAAATACTCATGACTATAATCCTAGTGTGTTTCTAACAATGAATGTCGATCACAGAGTTTTTTTATGTGCAAGTTGTAAGTGCCAAACTATAACATTTTCCCACATAGACCATATTAAATACAAATGTCACAATCGACCTGTCCAATATTTGTGATGGAGTCAGAAAGTGATCTAATCTGTATATAGTAAATAAATACGAGGAACCTCTATTAAATAATAACACATCATACTATGCAAAGGATGAGAAATCTTGATAGGGATCCTTTAGTATAATCTGAATTATAAAAAACAAAACTAGAAAATTT